CGAGCTATTCTTTCATAGGAATCAACGTTCAATATATATATATATATATATATATATATATATATATATTCAGTTTTATGGATATGAGTTTGTGACCCTGGGTTTCACGCTTTTGCGATCATCAGACAAGTTGTTTTTTTTTTTTTGAAAATTGAATCTATTTATGCTTGTTTGTGTTTGATTATGTTCGGTCCTGAGAGGGGGAAATCCTCCTCTTGGTCCGTTTTGGGTGACACTTTCACATACACTGACAGATATTCTTACATACAGGTGTACGCGTTATAGTTCACACAAACACACCCATATAAATAATCCGAGATTAGGCGCAGATAAAACGCATTACACACATACACACACAGAGACACACACACACGCACACATATGTGTGTGTGTGTGTTTAATGCGCTTTATTTAGTTAACACGTTTACAGTCTATTTAATGCATAGCAATTATTCAAAATGGACGTTTGCTTATCTTAGATACTCACAAGATTTAGTGTTATATAATGTTTTACTTACACACTTTACAAAAGAAATGCGTCAGCTGGCCGACAGTGTGAAATAATTTAATTCCATCAAATTCTATGATTTTCTGCTTCTCTTGCAGATTTTATTTTTCTGCAACATTTTCTGTTTACCGTTTTGTTTTTATCAGAATACCATTCGATTAAATATATTTTCTCTTTCATTTTTCCTTCATATTATACATTCTGAAAACAGTCTGTTAATGGATAGCTAAGGAAATCATGCTATTTTCTTGTGTATCAACAATCTCTTTAAAAATGGTTCAAATTAATCATTGTTATAGAAGTAAGAAAATGAATATATATATTTATACATTCTTGTTATAGATACAAATATTTAAGTAAATGCTCTGTTTTATAATAAACAGTATTAATAACATTTACCGGCCTGAATGTCCAAGAAATTTTCATAGAAAATTATCGTTCTCCGGCAGGAATCGAACCTGTATCCTATACAGAACCGTCATTTAGCTTGACGTGCCTTAACCGATTAAGCCACGGAGAAGCGTTCGAATTTGCTGATCGATTTTACTGTCTTTAAACTTGCTAATCGAACGATTCTCTGTGGCTCGATCAGTTAAGGCACGTCAGGCTAAAATCGACGTATAAGCGTCAAAGAACTCAGTTTCTAGGTACCGACAGCCAGACACGTGATTTGATTATAGTGGTGAAGTTTTTGTGCAGAACCAACCACACTTTTTGAAGAGCCGAATACAGAGACCTGGTGCACCCAAATGAACCTCCGCAGTTGTTCTTCACGTAGGCCAGTTTCTATCCAAGGCCATAGAACACAGTCTGTCCTGCTATTTGCCCATAGCTGAGGAGAAAGGGATTCATCCCAAGGGTAATAGCACGTAAGTGAATGCACTTGATTCGACTGAATTCGAACTATATATATATATATATGTGTGTGTGTGTGTGTGTGTGCATGTAGTATATATATATATATATATATATATATATATATATATATATATATATATATATATATATATATATATATATAATTATTGGGTAGCAGGTTATTCTTCAAGCATATATTGTTAAATATAGCATACAATGAATGTCTCTATGTTTGATCATGAGTCTGTCGAAACTTCGTATATTTAATTTCGGGCGCAAATAAAGAGAAATTTTGTATATTTTTTATCTAAGCTTTCGGCATACAGGAGCCATCTTCAGAGTGGTTATATGGACATTTAAACAAAGATATTCACCATCAAATATGATATTCTGTTATGTGGACATAGAAGTTTCCTTTGTGACAATAACCGTCGCGGATTTGCAGATGCAGCTCGCAAATTCATGATGACATTCTATGATATCGTACCGCGTGAAAGAAAGAAATAACAACAGGACCATATGTCTAGATGCAATGTAATGTGTTGTGACTAGTTTGAAATGTAATTTTGTTGAATGTGAGTTGCTCTGGTTTGATGATGTCAATGGCCTCTAATATCTGAAGGTTCTTTTTTACTGTGTGTATGTGTGAGTAGTGTTGCGTTATCAACTAATATCTGTCTAATATTATGTACATGGCTATGTTTTTTTTCTAAGAAATATTGTTTAATAGAACTGAGATCAGAAAGATGACAAGTAAGTCTACGGGAGTGGGTGGTTGTAGTAAAATCAATATATGTTTAGATACAATTTCTAAACGGGCATGTATATTGATACACTACATTGATTTTTTGTAGATGTTTTATTTGTGTGGTTGTAGGGATATTAGAGACTATGAGGTCAATTGTTTAATTTTTTATAATATATGATGTGCTTAATTTGTTTATCATTATTAATGGGTTTAACATTTCCACATATTATATTTTTGTTGTTTCGTCATTTTTGTAATTATTATGCATGTTAGAATAGTATAAGGTAATAGTATTATGTTTATTTTGACGTGCATTATTATGGTCAAATTATTATTAATATTATCAATTATATTAGAGGTATTATTAAGTTTATTGATGCACATTGTAATTTGTTGATCAATTAAGGAATTAGGGAATTCATAGGGAAACAAGTGCTTAAATTTATTATTATTAATTTCTACCTATTATGTTTATGAGAAAATAAATTAAAGCAAATATACGAAGTTTAGAACGGTTCATCATAAAACATAATAAAAATGTTTGACTATATATATATATATATATATATATATATATATATATATAATAATATATTATATATATATAATATATATATATATATATATATATATATATATATATATATATATACCCGATGCGATCAGAACGAAATTAATGTATAAATTTCAACGTTCACAGCATTAATCCAAAAGAGGACTCGATACCGATAGCAGAGCGATAATTATTTATTTATTATAATTTTTATTATATAGGCAAAACCATTTTACTCACTAAAGATGCAACTTCGTTTCAGTGCATTTCTACTGCACTTCGACGGATGAGAATCGAAAATGGTAACCATTTTCGATTCTCACCCGTCGAAGTGCAGTGAAATTTACTAAAACCAAGTTGCATCTTTATGTAGTTAGTAAAATGTTTTTGTCTATATGATTAAATCCTAATATATACATACATATATATATATATATATATATATATATATATATATATATATATATATATAAATATTGATTTAAAATATATATATATATATATATATATATATATATACATAAAATTCCAAGAGGATAAAATCCAAGTAGAACTCAATGTCCAGTACAGAGTAAGAATATAATATAAAAGCTCAAACTCTAATATTCCATGGTTATAATTTATTACATGGAAATCGTAATCACGATCCAATTCATCAGACCTACAAATTTAATTCCAATATAATAAATTATAACCATGGAATATTAGGGTTTGAGCCTTATATATATATATATATATATATATATATATATATATATATATATATATATATATAATTACATAAAAATGAAACTATTAACAATAATAATTAATATATTGCAAGCATATATGTTAAGAAAAGAAATGGCTATCTTAATGGTGTAATGGGGTTTCGTTTTTATTTAATTCATTTATATGCTCTATAATAAATATATTGAGCTCTTTTTTTATTTGGGATGAATTTTAATATTTTATATTATTAGCATCTACCTGGATCACTTACCCACGGATTTTTACCCATCACAGCGAAACAGTAATGTCTGTAAATGACATAATTTAGCGCTTGAAAATATATATTCAATTGAGCACTGTTGAACGACAATTCTAATTCTAAAAACAACAGTCAACTGCGTAAATGCGAAGCTCTTCAGTAAAATAAATGGAGCACTTTGGCTGATTGGCGTTTGCTTACGTTTGTAAAAACAATAGACTAGATTTGGCTGATTCGTTTTGTTGCGTGAAGATGGCTCAGTGGTAGAAGCTCTGACACCAAATCGGTTAGGTTTCGATCTAGTCTTGAGGCATTATATATATATATATATATATATATATATATATATAAAGAAATATAGTCTTAAGGTGTACTATATTTATGGGATGAAATGTTCAATATCAGAGATAGAGCGTGTGTAAATATAAAAGTGAACATTGAAGCCAACACTGGCCTGACGATTGCGTCTAGCTCGAAAACAGACTGTCGCCTCTAAGTGTTGACTTAAATGTTCACTTTTATATATATATATATATATATAATTGTTACCACGTTAATAAAAAACACCGAATAAAAGATAAGTAAAAAAATAAATAAAATAAGAAACAAAAAATAAAATTAAATAAAAACAAGCAAAATAATTTAACCCAAATAAATAAATAAACGACTTCTGGTAAAATAACCGCCATAATAGACTACCCACAATGCACCACTGACCCGTATATGTATAAATAGCCCAGAAAAATAACAGCACACGTGGCCTGACGATTGCATATAGCATGAAACAGACTGTCGCCTCTAAGTTTTGACTTCTATATTCACTTATATATATATATATATATATGTATATATGTGTGTGTGTGTGTGTGTGCGCGTGTGTGTGTGTGTGTGTGAAGATGTAGAATAAGAGAACGAGGAAGAAAGATGGGTAAATACATTTGTGTGGAAATCTATTTTTAATAAATTATTTATTTTCTAATGATGATATCTTTCAAGTTCGATCATTCTCTGTAGGGATAAACCGAATCCTCAATTGAAAGAAAAAAATCATATTCGATTTGACAGTGAATCGTTGAAGGTACAAGTCATCATCCATTACCACCTCTTTATCGATGACGTCTAAAATCTATCATAATCAACCGAATTCATTGATTTCGTTACGTTTCGAATTGAACAGTCTTTCATTGTCTGAAATATCTTTATTTTTTTCTCTTTCGCTTTCTGAATGCTTTTGATGACGTGGAATTTATTTATTAGGCATAATTTATTCTGGTACAAGGTCACAGTTCTGAGGCATCAAGCGAATATCGAACGCAGTAAAAAAAGTAATGGTTTGCAAATATATATTTCTAACCAATTCTCAATGGTACTTTCAAATTCTCTTTCTTTCTTTCTTTATAATATATTTCTTACTAATATATGTATTATTTTTTCGACTTACTTTTATTCTTTTGCGATGATGTTTATATTCATCTATTTTTCTATTCATTCTTTTGCTTTTTCTTCTCTTTTCTTAATTCTTTTTTTTTTCGATTTTCTTCTTAGATCTTTATCTTTTTCAAATTCGTATTTTGCTTCCATCAACCTCTCCTTTATTCTTTACTTCTGTTTTCCTCCATTTCTTTCATCCTGTGTACAGTCCGTTCTTTCTTTCTTTTTTGTCTACCTCCTCCCTCTTTCTTTCTACTTACAGTTCTTCCTTTCTTTTTGAATTTCTTATAGTATAGTTCCTCTTCGCTTCCTTATTCCTTCTTTTTTCCTTCCATTTTACTTTTTTCATTCCTTTCTTTATTTTCATTTTCCTTATATTTTTCTTCATTAGACTTCCTTCCTTTCCATTTCTTAATATATATATTCCATTTCGTTCCTTCTTTTTCTCTTTCCCCCTTTTCTTTTATTTTCTCCTTTATTTTTACTTCTTTTTCTTCGTTTCATTCCATCCTTTTTTCTTTCCAATCCTTCCTCACATTTCGTCTACGTTTCTTTTTCTTTCCATACTTCCTCCCTTTTTTCCTATTGTTCATACACCATTTCTTCCTCTCCACATTTCTTTCGTTTTTTCTTTTCTTCATTTTCTTTCTTCCTAATCTCAGGCTTTTGTTCCATTCAAGACTTTTTCATTCCTTCCTTATTTCCTTATTTTTATTTCAATCAGCATTTCATTTATTATATTTATTTAAACAACTTCCATTTTGTCCTTCTTCGCGCTTTTCCAGATTTTTCTTACCGGCATTCCTTTCTTACGCACCAGCCTTCCTCTGACCGTTTCCTTCTGTTCCCCTTTTTTTTCACAGATTCCATTATTCTTCAGAATTTACTTAAAGATTGCAAAAGGAATAATCCTATTTAATCTGCGCCATCCAATTTCAGTTATTGGCCGCCATCTTTACCTTGTCTCCATTTTTGAAATCTTTTTCCATGAGATTGAAAAATTCTCACGAGATTTTTCACGACATTCTCTCTCAAATTTTCTCGCCGACACCAAAGAAACACAGGTTTTGTTTTTGTTTTTTTGTTTCCCGGATGTCCTTTTGTGAATATCATTTCAGTTTTCCCTTCATTCCGATTTCGGAAACCACGTGACACATTCAGTCGACGCTTTCCAATGTGCGTTGTCTTTTCAATTCGTTTTAGAATTCATTTAATTTTATTTTATTTATTATTATTATGTTAAACTTCAACGCACAGTTATTTGGAGTTTTTGAAATGCCACGATATGACTTTATGATTGTTTGTAGATTTGCAGTGTAAATGTGACTGAAAGGTTTTTTTTTTTAAATTTACCCCCCCTCCACACACACACTTTAAGATTAGTTCTTATTCTTTTGAAAGGTTCTTTGTATGTGGTCTCTTAGTGTCTGGTAAAGGAGAAAAAAAAAAGAAAGAAAAAATATATATTCTTTCTTTGTTTCTTTCTTTCTTTCATTCTTTTCTTTCCTATTTCTCCTTTATTTTCATTCGCTTTTCACTTACGTTTTTCTTTGTTGACATCATTTCTTTCTTTTCTCCACGTTTTCTTTTACCTTTTTCTTTTTGCCTTTCTGTCTTTGTTCGAAATTCTGACACTGGATATGATATTCTCTCTTAAGATACACAATCTTATACGATACATACATATATGCATACATATTGTCATATAGGAATAAAGTGTCTGCCGACACTTGGGTTTGAACACGGATAGCCAGCATAGTTCAACTCATCTTGAAATAGATCACGTGACGATAAAGGAAAATATTTATATGGTAATTAGCGGCATGTCTGTGGATGACAATTTATACATGCTCTTCAAAAATTATTTCGGTTGTGCTCTTGGGGAGAAAAGTGAATTTGTAAACAGTGACTATTACTGCAGCTGATGCAATACTCTTCGTTAAGACGAATCGAGTTCTCCAGTCACTGGCGTGTTTATCTTAAAAATAAATATGTTTAAACTTATTTTCATCCCTACCGTACGCCAATACCTTAGAGGTAGAATCTCCGACTGATACCAAATCAGTCAGGTTTCGATCCCAACTTGAGGCAATCGGATGTCTAGCCACACTGATGAGCTCTGTCTGTGGATGAAGAAATATATATATATATATATAAATATATATATATATATATATATATATATATATATATATATATATATATATAGAGAGAGAGAGAGAGAGATAGAGAAAGGGTTATACATGATAGATAGATTGGATTTTTACCTAAATATACAGAATCTCATAGGATATATATATATATATATATATATATATACTATATTGTTATATATAGCGTGAGTGGTGGAGATACACACACACACAAACACACACACATATATATATATGTATTCTGTATCTTAAGAGAGAAGATTATATCTATCTATTCTCACCATGAAATTGTTTAATTAACATAGTTATAACTTATGAAAAAACATAAACGCCATATAATATTTCTCCACCATTGCATAAAGCTGCAATATGCAAAAAAAAAAAAAAACAATTAAAAAAACTTTGTTATAAATGTAAATATGTGTTTTTTATTAATTTCTTAATAGTATTCGAACAAAGTATGTCCTTAATATTCAGAGGCTTTAATTACCTTTATTTACATAATTCTTTATAAGATTTTGACAGATTTTTTCAATTATCTTATTACCGGAACAAACTAGAACATTTCCTTAGTCATTTCGTATCTAAGGTTATCTCCGCACACAACACTTATCATCAAAGAAAAAGGAAAGGATCTAACAAATTCACAAAAAGCATTGATCATCAAACATTGGAAGGAAGGCAAATGCTATAGGAAAATAGCAAATATGCTGAATATACCATTTACTAAAAGTAGTTTCGATATCGTTAAATATAAAAAGGTGAAAACTATTGAGAACAAATCGAGATCTGGTGAACCATGCAAGATTTCTTCCAGATGAGTGAGAAGAATTCAGTGCAAAATTCAAGAAAATTCAATGATTCCTCGGAGAGAAATACGCGAACAATTAAAACATCAGGTGTTATTGTTACGAAGCGAAAAATAAGCAATGAACTTCGTAGAAATAAAGCAAGACTGCGTTCTCCAAGAAAAATTTCACTACTATTGAAGAAACATAGGGATACCCTGTTAAAGCTTGTACGCATGCATAGGAATAAATCTGGATTAATTTGTCGTAATTCAAGGACACGTTTGGTGAAAAGACGGCATAGCCTTTGTACTGAAGATCAGAATCCCAACGGTGAAATTTGATGTTGGATATATCATGGTTTAGGGGATATTTTTCTGCTAATGTAACGAATAATTTAGAGATAATAGATCGTAGAATGAATTCAAAAATATACCAAGATATTTTGAACTCTAATTTGTTTGGGTCAGTAGTGAAGTTTGGACTTTCAAATGACTGTGTTTTGCAACAAGATAATGAACCTGAAAGGCTAAATACAAACAAAATGGCTTACTGAAAACAATGACCCTGCACTCGAATGGCCATCATAGTCTGCAGAGTTGAATCCAAGAGTGAATTTGAGGCGTTTATTAAAAATTCAAATTAATAAAAGAGCTCCCAAAAATATCCTGGATCTAAAGAGAATATGCAAAGAAGAATGGAGTAAAAGACAAATATAAATTTGTAAATCATTGCTTAAAAGCTTCAGAAAGAGACTGATTGCTGTTGAATTGAGTAAAGGATATGCTACAAAGTATTAAATAGGTATGTCATACGTATATTTTTTTCGCCTCCATCTTGTTTTAATTTCATATAATTTCATTAATATAACAATTTTTGTGACTTTTTTTGCATATTGCAGCATTATGCAATGGTTAACAAATATTGTATCGAATATAAAATTCTTTTATAATATTGAACGTAAATAAAGAAATTCATGATGTACGAATATTTCTTCCACACCCCACACTGTATATATACTATCGATAGATAGATAGATAGATAGATAGATAGATAGATAGATAGATAAAGTGGATCTTATTTCTAAAGAAATAGATAGATAGATATATAGATAGATAGAGAGAGAGAGAGAGATGATGGAGATAGATAGATAGATAGATAGATAGATAGATAGATAGATAGATAGATAGATAGATAGATTGGATCTTATTTCTAAATATACAGAAACTCATGATATAATTGTATATCATCAGAGAGAGAGAGAGGAGGGTGGAGGGGAGATAGATAGATAGATAGATAGATAGATAGATAGATAGATAGATAGATAGATAGATTCTCTTGTAAGATGCAGAATATCATACGAGCGAACATCTGCCATGGAAATAGTGGTCGAGCAGCGAGAGACTAGCGATATTCTGTTCGTAGAAAAGGTGTTAAAAGATGGTTTAATACCCAGAAGGTCGCACAAACGCGTTTAAGCTCTGTTAAGGATGGAATATGAGTGTTGGGCAACTCAACCACAGGTGATTTTTTGTTACTACCAATGCCAAGAATGGGAAAATTCTTAGATGTAGATAACAATAGCTACAGCGACGTCTCAATTCGTGTATTTATATTTACATAACTTTCTTTCTTTCTTTCTTTCTTTCTTTCTTTCTTTCTTTCTTTCTTTCTTTTGTATCACGTTTTCTAATTTAATGTCTTTTACTTCCTTTTCTATTTGGGAACTTTCTTTCTTTCTTTCTTTCTTTTTCTTTCTTTCTTCCTTCCTTTCTTTCTTTCTTTTTTCTTTCTTTCTTTCTTTCTTTCTTTCTTTCTTTCTTTCTTTCTTTCTTTGAGTATTCCCTGTCTTTTTCCTCTTCAACCTTTATTTTCTATTCTTTCTTTCTTTCTTTCTTTCTTTCTTTGAGTATTCCCTTTCTTTTTCCTCTTCAACCTTTATTTTCCATTCTTTCTTTCTTTCTTTTCTTTCTTTCTTTCTTTCTTTCTTTCTTTCTTTCTTTTGTTTCCTTTATTTCCAGTCAATTCTGCTTTCTCTTTTTCTATCTTCTACTTGATTTTTGTTTGTTTCTTTCTTTGTTCCAATTGATTTTTCTTCCTTTATTTCATTCTTTCTTTCTTTTTCTCTTTCTTCCTAATCAATTTACTTTGTTGTCCTTTATTTCTTTCCAATTAATTCCACTATGTTTCTTCTAAGTGATTTTCTTTCTTTCTTTCTTTCTTTCTTTCAGTTTTTCTTTTTTCTTACTTTCTTTCTTTGAACTGATGTTTCTTTTTCTCTCTTTCATTTTCTTCCAATTGATTCTTATGTTCTTTCTTCTTTCTTTCTGTTTTCTTCCTTTATTTCTTTCAATTCTTTATTTCTTTCCTTCGCTCTTTCTTTCTTTTCATTCCATCCAATCCTTTCTCATAAAGTATTATATTTCCTTTTCCTTTTTCTCTCTACCCAACTTACGAAATCCTGTTCTGTCTTTCATTTCCAGTTGCAAACAACTCAATCCTTTCCTCCTTATCACTTATAACCAAGCAGAACTGCGCGTTAAATTCAATCAACACGAATTAACAATTGCATTGACCTCGATGCATGCCCCTAAATAAACCCCAGAAAAAGACGTGTACACAGATTGCACACAGTTAAAATCACCGGTGCTCACTCAGGCAGACCAACATTCATAATATCTGCCCGCATCGTACGAAGATCCTTTGTTTGGCAACATCACGCTTTTTATAACGTATTTCTTTTAGCACAAGTATATGTAATGTGGCTTTTGATAGCAAACTTCAAACACAGTTACGCAGTCTTCCGGGATGGGATACTCATTTTTCGCTTTCTAACCTCGTCTCCATAGACACAAAGTTACAAGCCTATCTCGACTTTCTCGCTGTTTCC